CAGTCCATCAGTTGAAAGCTTCTAAAAAAGTCAGAGCACCTTGCCACTGACTGAAACATGAATACATTTCCAACATATATATCAGGGCCTGCAAAAGCATTAAACAACTCCACATACACATTAAGACTAAAATGGATTAAATTTTTGAAGATTTATATAATGATTATTTCTCTGAGCATTTTGGATCAAATCTTAAGATATGTACAGTCTCAGTTTACTATAAGTTCAGACTTTATCACAATAGATACTAGATTACAGTTGCTTATTCTAAGAGCATGAAAAAGTTAAGACTCAAGCAAGAATAGAAAGCATACATTTTGTCATTTGTCTAATCACCTGCCTTTTAGAACTGTGCTTGTGCTCAGGGACAGAAAGTTTCCAGCATTTGGAGCCAAATTACTTTCATAATTACTTCGCCTTCCTTACTGTTGCTGATGTCTCATGGATGTCAGAACACTAACCTGCTGATACCACTGGTTTTCAGGGGAGAAGGGGGCTCCTCCCTCTGTGCTCATGACTAAGTCTGACTGTATGGAAACTGACTTTTAGTTGCTTAGGAATTTGTTGGCTTATGGCTGTTTGTTCCCCTACTGTACTTGAAGCCGTAATTTCTGCCTGCTTTTATATCATTATTTATCTTTGGAGTCACAGAGTGTCATGCATAAAAAGAAGTTATGATCTGAAACATTTCTAAGAATCTTCAAGTGAAGAAAGAGTATCAGCTCAGTGACTCAGAAAATTAGTCACTTGCTTAAACGGTTATTCTGACCAGTTTTTGTGTGGATCTTTAAAAAAACAACAACAGCAATGACAACAACTAAATTAATCAAGTTTTCATCAAATCACAGAACTAATACATACTTGTAAAAACAAAACATTTGGGGCAGTGAGATGTCTCAGGGAGCAAAGACACTTGGTCAAGTCTGGTAACCTGAGTTCTCGTTCCAAGAACCACATAGTGGCTCTCAAGTTATTCTCTGACCTCTAGTTGTCCTTGCCCCACAATGTACAGTAAGAAAAAAATAAGTTTAATTATCATTTTTTTTATCCACAAGTATATAAACTGTCTCTCTGCCTTCTCCTTTCCCCAGAGATTACTCATTCTAAAAGCGTTGTATGCTTAGTTTCATGTTTAATTATGTTTATGAAGTCACATAAACATACAGATATAAAATGCCCCACTTCTCTAATATGACCGATTAGAATGTGAGATAATGTCATATTCTTCTATAATCTGATTCTCATTCTACATCATTACCTCAGACAAGCCATTATAGTAAGCCGATATGCATGTTTTTACCTCATTATTTTAAAGAACTCTGTAGTATTTCATAGCATGATGTAAAATGATTTTTATAACCATTTCCTGGCTGATAAAAAATTAGCATCGTCTGATTGCTTGTTGTTACATTAACACACTAACACATATCTCCACACATGTGTTTTAAAATTTTTTTATAGGGCAGATACCTGCATGTAGAATTGGTACCTAAAGACAGCACACACCTTCTCAAAATTTAAGGGAACTAATAGTGTTGTTTTTCCAACAACTTCAGTTTTGCTGTCAACTATTAAAAGTTGATAAGCTGGTATGTAAAATAAATCACATTTTATTGTTTGAATTTTCATTTATGTGGGATCAGTTAACATGTTCAGGTGTTACTTTGTTGTAGTTCTTACTGTTATATCTATTGCGAGTCAAGAGCCAATGAGTTGCTTTTCATGTATTACTTTCGATAATTGTTTTTTCCATGAAAGCATATTGTTAGCCTACATACTAAGACTAAGACTCTTGATGTCTTTCTGACATATAATACATGGGTTCTATTAAAAATAAACTATAAGAGTTTAACTTTAGTCACCTGAGCTATCAATTTTAATAGTCTAAAGAATATGTCAATTATCCACCCTAGCTATTACGATCACAGTAGCAACACACTGCAATGAAAATTTCCCAATAAGTATAGATTATCATCAAGGGTAATAGGAAAGAATGAGACTGGAGATCCTCTGAACTGTGAGTTGAGAAGACATCATCTGATAGAGCAGTGTCTCTCATCTGTAGGTTGACACCCCATTGGGGCTGGGGGGGCCTTTCACAGAGGTTGCCTAAGACCATTGGAAAACAAAGATATTTACATTACAGTTTATAACAGCAGCAAAATGGCAGTTATGAAGTAGCAACAAAATTTTATGGCTGGCAGTCACAACAACAAGAACTGTATTTAAAAGATTGCACCATTAGGAAGGTTGAGAACCACTGTGATAAAGGGACAGTAACACAGCAAGAACATAAGAAGAAACAAGCCTATTCTTAGAACATGGGGATTAAAGGAAGAGTCTGAGGAGAAGGTAAAGTCAAAGAATAGATGTGTGCCTAAGAACCTAAGGTAGTCTAGGGATTGTAGAGGCTGATACGGAAATAGACATGGGACCTTGGGTAGAAATCAAGTATTACTAAATTACTACCAAGTTGATTTCCATATGTTAAAATCTGAAAAGTAGTATAAATCTAAGGGAGAAACCCACCAGCAAACAGACAGATGACTCTAGGCTTAAGATGAGGACTTAGGAGACATTAGCATCAAAATGCCACTAACCGCCCCCAGAAGATGTAAGATGGTCTAGTCACATACAAAGGTGTGAAAGGTCAGAATGTGAACATAAGGGATATTACAGTTAAGCACTAAATGTTCTCGTCAAATATAGTGCTAAGCTCACTTCTGAAATGGCAAGACTAAGAGTTAAGTTTCTCTAAAGTGGTAATCAGAATGCCACTGTTGAGTTAGTAATCAAGGCAAAAAATTCATATATCCAAATATCCCTAATAACATCTACAGTGTGTGTATGTGTATGTGTGTGTGTGTGTGGGGGGGGTAGTACAGACATGTGTGTGAGGTTGTAGCACAGTGAGTAAGAGAAGGCTAGAGAAAAGTAAATACAAAGCCCTCTAAGCAGAGAAACTGTATTTGATGTGTTCTAGGGGCAAGGCAATAGAGATGTTTGCTAAAAGAATGGACACTTGGGGTCAGAAAATCACTTCAAATGAACTTGAGATTTCTCAGATGTGAGTGCCTTCTAACAGGCTGAACACCCCTAGCCTCAGCCCCAGTCCCAGCCTGGTTGACTTATTTTAATTTACTTTAAAGTATATGTTTGATTCCACTTATTCAAAAGACAAAAATCCAGGAATGCACATACGTCAATTAGAACAACGAGATGTAAAAATACAAGGCCCAATTTGAGGTACGCTGGTTTGCAAAAATGTTGAAAGTTTACAAACTCATGACCTCACAGAAACGAAAGTAAACAGACCTCAACTAATTTTCACATCATAATTTATCTTACATCATCCAACTGGTTCTTGAAAAACCACTTTGAAGGTTAAGAAATTGTTCAGCACTATACATCACAGAAATTCCACCCACGTTTTGCTTTCAGATCTCCTTAAAGTGCTTTCTTTTGGCAATGACTAAGGAACAGAAAGACTGACTTTACACAGATACTCTAAAGAACACATACGAAAACGTACCCAGAAATCAGTTTTGTTTAGAAAACTTTTTAGAAAGTGCCAGGGATTTTCCAAGCAAGTAGCTGAAAATGCTTGACTTAGAAAAAAAAAAATCCTTTGCATGCTGAGAACAAACTGAGTGCCTTGATTCATGAGTAAGTAATTTTGGTGAATAATCTGATTCCTTAAATGTATCATTTATACAAGCATACATAATCATATGAACCTAAACAATCCCTATTAAACCCTAAATCATGTCACATAAAAATTAAGTTACTTTCTTAATTGACCTTTTAGCCCTATTCAAATGGGAAATGTAATAAAGTGAACATAATGAGGGGAAATAAATAGTTAAACAGTGAACTTAATAGAAAAGCTTCAATGTAACGATTTCCTTTAAAGCATTGTTCACATGGCACAATCTAGTTGGCTACTTATGCAACTATTTATAATAATGTAATTTTCAGCATCCAAAGAATTCTAGTTCAAAGATTAGGGATAAGCTCAATTACAAGAAAATAAATGTTTTAATTTAAAAATAAGTAAATAAAATGAGCTTTTTCATACCCTATAATATAACCAAACTGTGAGATAAAAGGCATAATTTCAAATTCCTTCATTGAAAATTGTGAAATCCATATTGCAAAAAGTTAATCAAGTCAGGATTGATGAAAATTGGCTAAGTCTATGCTTTCTGTGAATGATGTATGAAAACTGGAAAGGAGAGATAAGTGCAGCAGATTTATTCAACAGAAGAAACAGCCAGTGCCCTTCCCCTGGCAGTTATGTGATTGTCTGTCATTCAATTTAGGCTACATAAACAAATAAAATCAGAAGGAAGACAGCAAAGATTGAAAAAAAAAAAGCTCATTAGAAATCAGAACAATGACAGCTGTGACAGAATTCACATGTAGATGTGAGACCAGAGGCCAAACGCAAAGCTAGAAGGATGTGAAATGATGGGAAGTGTAGCTATTAAAGGTAAGGTCATTTCCGGTTGGAGAAAACCCATAGAATCAACTACCCAGGGTTCCTTGGGCCTCACAGAGACTGAACTAACAATTACAGAGCCTGCAAACATCTGACCTAGGCCCTCTACCTATATGTTATAGTTGTGTAGCTTTGTCTTCTGTGGCACTCCTAACAGTGTGAGCAGGGTGCTATCTGTGACTATTTTACCTGCTTTGAGGACCCTTTTTCTCCTTTTTCTCCTAAAGGGTTGCCTGATCCAACCCTAACCTGAGGGGAGGTGTCTTCTTTTTGCAACTTGACATGCCATGTTTGGTTGAGATCCCTGGAAGGCCTGCTCTTTCCGGAAGTGATTGGAGAAGAGATGAGGTTCGGAAGTGAGGAGGAGGAGAGGAAGGGGAAATTGTGGTCAGGATGTAATAAGGAGAAAAAAAAAAAGAGTTACAGTCATTTCGATAAAATGGGCAATCAAAAGAAGACAGTGAAGTCCTTACTAATCCGGATGTGAAGAGAGTCCTACCTGAGAGAGGAGCACAGGTAACACAGAAAGCAAGCAGGAACAGCAGGGCACTTGGCTTCTGTCTCCAACGACAGCAATGACTTCTCCCCTGTGTGTCAAACATCCTGCAATTAATGACAGAAAATTACAGTCAGGACAGATACCTTCATTAAAGCATTAAAACAAATAACACAAAGTATGGTTCTCAGCAAACACTGAACATAGAAACGTGTTTTAGGCTTGTTTTCAAGTGACAAATTGAATATAGAAGTGATAGAACTCAAGCCTCAGGCACACAAAGCAAGTGTTCTAGGCCACATCCTCAGAAGACTCTAAAAAGACAGTGAAGACCAAATCATCCCCTCCAAGTAAAGAGAAAGAAACTAAATGCCTCAGGAGTTAGTAAGGTATTTGGTGGGCAAGCCTAGGGACATGAGTTTGGACCTCTAGTGCCCATAAAAAGCAGACAGTTCTGTAATTCCAAAGGAGAGTTAATGCAGACAGGAGGACCTTGACCTGCAAGACTGGCCAAAACCTGAGGTGGATAGTGATTAAGGAAGATACAAGATGCTGACCTCTAGCTTCCACAGGTGCCTGCATGACATATATGGACAGGTACACATACATACTGACTACATACACACATACACAGACACATGCACACACACATACACATGCATGCACAGGTGCATACACACATACATAAATACACCCATTTTATTTGTTACATGTACACTTGTACAGGTTCAGATTTAGCTCTCTATTTTATGCTCCCTGTGTCTTCTGTCTCCTGACTGTCTCTTGCCTGAGTCAGAATCTGCTTCTGCCTGGAGGCTATTTTGTGAATCTATTTGTTCTTGTGTCTGTTTCCACCCCTGTGTCTGTTTCTGTCTGTGTCTGTCTATGTGTCTGCCTGTTGTAGAATCTCTCTCTCTTTCTCTCTCTCTCTCTCTCTCTCTCTCTCTCTCTCTCTCTCTCTCTCT